TAGTGGTAGTTTTATCCATATTTGCCGGTTTAGAGAAAGTTTCAGTGAACTTGATACAGAACATAGACCAGAGATATTGCAAGCAAATCACCAAAGGCTAAATGTTCTTGGAATTGGAACATTTACCTTTAAGAGTTTTTGCTTCTACAGGTGAGATAGTAAACCTTACATTAACAAATGTTGCTTTTGTTCCTGAAGCCTCAAATTTACTTGGTACTAAAAGGATTGTGAAGAATGGTTACACTGTAATACTTAAATCTAATACAGGAAAAATTATTAATGATAGAACTGGTCTGGTGCTTAAAGTTGATGAAAAAGATGGATTTCATTATATCACTGATGTTAATGATAATATAACAAATGAGGGGAGGCCTATATGTCAAACTAAGCAAGATATCTGTGATCACAAAACTTGTCTTTATTCATGGCATGTGAACTTAGCTCATAGGAATATGCAAAATATCAAAAAATTATTGCCAGAAAATGGAATTAATGCTGTTAAATGTGATAAAGCAAAAGAAAGGTGCGAAATCTGTATAAAAGCAAAGGGAATGGCTCCTGGTTATTCAGGACAATCCAATGTACAAGTTAAGGACTTTTTGAAAGAGGTTTGTTCAGACCTAGTGGGTCCTATGCCATTATCTGCAGGCAAGAACAGTTGTTTACTTACCTTCACTGAATTTAAGAGCAAATATAGTTATGTATATATACTTAAACAAGGATGAGACCCTTGAAAGGTTTAAGTGCTATGTAGCTGCAATTAAGAACTGATCTGGTAAGGCACCTTTAACATTATGTACTGATGGAGGTGGAGAATATTGTAATGCAGATTTTAGGAGGTTTATGGAACAGGAGGGCATTGAACATAAAGTAACCATATCTTACTCTCCACAACAGAATGGATGTTCTGAGAAGGTCATAGGTTACACAGTAAAACACACATTAAAAAGGTGGGTACCAGTGTCCAAAGGGTGGGCGCTGGTTGTTGCCAAGGGAAATATGAGCTAGTTGGTTTTTTATCTCTTGAGAGTGACGGCAGCTGTTCCTGCCCCTGGGATGATCCTGCGCTCCACTTTCGCTTTTCGCACTTCCCCAGTTTAACTGACAAACCTTGTCAATTTCAAAGGGAAAGAAGGTTAACAAGGTCCACTTTGATCTTAGCAACTAGTTAAGGTCAGTTCTGGGGCATGCATCATTTTGGATCTTTATTCCAAAATCCTCCATTCCATCAGTATATCAAGGATGACTCTGTTTCTTAGTATAATTAAGGGGGGGGGGGGAAGACCATAGAAAGTTGTAATGTAGTTTACTGGGAACAGCAGGCATTGCAAAACAGCCAGACACTTTCAGTGTTTCTCAACCTTGGCAACTTTCAGATGCCAGCCAGGGAGTTGAAGTCCATACATTTGAAAGTTGCCAACTTTCTGTTCAGCTGTCTGTAGAAGAATTCTCATTTTTCTGCTGATAACCAAACATATTTTTCTGGTAGGGAAATGTAATGTCCTGGCAACACACAGAGCATGGAAGAGAGGCTCTCTGAAGTCCTGTGATATCCAAATAAGGACCATACATCGATAGAAGTGAATATGTGATGCTCAGGGTTGAACTGTGGAGTCCTGGGGGTTCTCTGAGCTTGGTTGCTGTCTTGCAAAGGTTTCGTTACCCGGCTAGGGAACATCTTCAGTGCTAGAATGGAATGGATATTCCAACAATACCCTAATCAAGGAACTACCAGAGGGGGAAAAATTAAACAAAGCAAAACCCCACCCCCGCCAACACTGGCAGGCCAGGGCACTGTATATAAACGGAGACCAAACCCCATCCCATTCTAGCACTGAAGATGTCACCTAGCCGGGTAACGAAGCGTTTGCAAGAAAACAGCCGAGCTCAGAGAACCCCCCAAGGACTCTAGAGGACCATATATGGCAGCGGCAGTCTTCCCAACAAGCAGCCACCCTGATCTTGTGTTTCGCGATCAGGAATAAAAAAAGCAGCAACGGGGCTGGCCGTTGCACTTCTTTTTGTCTTTTCCCTTGCTCAGCCCTTAAGTGTTCCCAGAAACAGCCCAAACAGTTATTCTTCCATTTAAGTCCGAAAACTGAGTTTGGACAGAGCGAAGTTTAACAGTGTTCACTCGGGTCCGGCACTAGGAAACCTCGTTCAAGGCCTTTCGCCCGCACTCCGCCGGAACAAGAGGGGCCGGAGCCGGGAGTGAGAAGGAAGGAGGTGCCTGCCGCCCTCCAGCGGCTTCGGCCCACGCGCGACTTCCAGAGCCCAAGGAGCGAGCCCGGATTGAAGATCCGCGCATTGTTCTCAGCCGTCACCTTGGACTTTTCTCCGTCTCGGGAGAAAAACAAAGCAGCCACATCGATTTTCACGTGGAATTACTGATTTGCTGTGTCTGCAGCTAGGCGACCTCGTGCACTCCTTGGGACCTTTACTGCACGGTCAGGGGACGTCGTTGCACTAAGAAAGTGAGGCGTGCGAAGTGATCGGCGTATAAAGAGAACTTTTCCACGCCTCCGCCTGGTTTCGTACACAAGGGCTGACAGCATCGGAGGGTGGGCCGTGAGAAGTAAGCGCTACGCCGGACAGCTCCCAGGACGAACGTGAAAATGCCGTCGGTGGCTTCTCCCCGGATTTGGCTGCTGCCGCTGGTGTGCTTTCTTTGCTCGCCCTGCGGCTGCGGAGCTCAAGCGGGTGAGTCACTTTTCTCCTTAATGGAAGCGTGCGCAGAATCTTTACTGGGACCAGAAAGAACGGCTCTGAATACTGTTTATCAGTGAAAATGTTCTATTCGGATGGACCCCTCGCTCCTGATCTTCGGAAAGGTTGTGAGGACTTAGCTATTTCATCAACTCTTGGGGAGAGATTAAGAGGTTTTAATGTATTTTTGGAATGGCTCACACTCACTTTGTATGACAGCTTTATTGGTTTCTTGGTTTTAATCATTATTATGTATTTACTTCAACCCTGATTCTAGATTTGGGGAGCTGTCTGCCACTCAGTGTCTGTGACTTGGAGCAACCTATAAATCCTGTAAATTAAGAAATAAAAACAATAAAAAAGCAGAGTATGAAGGGGAAGAAGAATCGTTCAGAGATTAAGCCAGTTATTTTAGCTATAATCATCTCATAAAAAATCAAAGTGGAGGTTAATGATTGACCCCTCCTCTCCCCTGAATCTTCCCCCCTCCCTTCTTATACAAACACCTTTAATTTCAAGTCTGACTTGTTATGGATGAAATGCAGACATTGCAGTACTTATCAGAAAGCAAATTTAGACAGAGTACTAGTTAGGCGTTTTCAAACTTTTTCAGGGGATAAAAATTGTTAGTTAAAAAAAAAAAAAAAAAAGTCCAGAATCCTTGATTAAGAGGCAAAGCTCCAGTGACAGAAAATTGGCTGTATTTGAGTGAACTTTTTTTCCTAAAGTTTCTCCTGGAACTGCATCAAGTTCTCACAGACCACTGGGGTTCCAGTTTTCAATCCCACCATTTGAAAACCCTGCACTGTTTAAGGCCAGTCTAGCAAGCGGAGAAAAGGGAACCTTCCAAATCTAAAATCCAGAGTGTAGAACTGATTTTATTGACTTGATGGCTGGTGACAAATTTGATAGATAAATAAAAAATAAATAAATTTTACTGGCTTCATGATCCCCACTACAGAGAACTGTAAAATGGGGCTGCAGATGGATATTACTTTGCTATGGGGGATGAATAAGGTGGTTGTCAAAAACATCAAGATGGCAGCTGTGAGCACATAATGGAAGCCCCATCTCTTTACTGTATGTGTGTAATGTGCATGTGACACCCATTAAAAGGGGTTGGGGCTTCTGTTATAGGCACTCCCAGGTTTGGCTTATGGTCACTCACTCGCACACTCACAGCCTGTTGAGGCACATGGATCTTGTCAGCCCCCCTTGCTTTCTATCTGGGTTTTCCAGATAGGTGTGGCTGGAACAGACAAGACACACGGCCCTGGGCAACAGGCAGGAAATAATTAAGGACACACACAAATCACTTTCAACTGAACACTGAGCACAACAGGTTCTTTGGAACACACGGAGACCCAGTGAATTTAAGTAATAGCAAAACTTTACTGGTTACAGTGTTCATTTGTTCTTTCTCACATGTGCACCCAACATTCATCCAGACCCATGTCCTTCTCAGCTAGGCTGCCAAGTACTAGCTAGAGCAGTGATGGTGAACCTTTTGGGTTTGGCACGTCAAAAATTCAGAAAATGCCTAACTTGACTCTGCTGGTGTGTCACCCCCACCCCCACCCATGAACAAAAGAGAAACAAGTCTTTACATATTTATTTAAAAAGAATACCGTCCAATCACGTGTGGTGCTATGTATTGTTTGTTTGTTTTATATTTCATATTTGTCATCTCCCTAGGAGCCACTCTGGGTGATTTACAGTAAAGAATATATATAAAGAAATGTCAAATAATTACAAAAATGAAACACAAATAAACTCAGTTTCTCTGGTAACTCAAACAGGGAGAATAGTTGTTGGGTGTTGGTGAATGCTGGAGTATCACCCAAAATGTTGTCACAGGTTTGCTATCACTGAGCTAGAGGGATGGAAGCTGCCAAGTGTAGATTCAAAGATGACTCCAGGTGTGGGTGGGCTTCAGGAACCCCTTTTATCCCCCAAAGTCCTTGCTTTGTTGATTCACAAGACTGGCAGCTCCTCTTGCCTTGTAAATTTACAAGTCTGGTAGCTGTTGATGGGATTGGGGGGAAGTTTCTTATCTACCTCCTCAAAAGTATATTTTAGACAAGATTCCTGGCTTTTTGTCCTCTCTGCTTATCTGCCTGCTTCATCTTTTATTTATGCATGCATGCATGCAATTTCTATAGCTGCCCAGCTCAATCCAAGTGACTAAGTGAAGGTCTCAAATGGTGATCATGTGACCCTGGGATGCTGCAACCATCATAAATATATGCTGGTTGCCAAGCACCTGAATTTTGATCACGTGACCATGTAGATGCTGTGACAGTTGTATGAGGAACAGTCGTAAGTCACTTTTTTCAGCACTGTTGTAACTTTAAACAGTCACTAAATGAATGGTCGTAAGTTGAGGATTACCTTACTTCAGCTTTCCTTTGCTTTACAGATCTGTGAAGGTTGTAAATGTAAGGATTGGTCATAAAGTTGTAACTGTGACAGGTCACTGTACTAGGCAGTCACCAAATGAGGACTACCTGTACCTTTTTTACGTAAAATAGGAATAACAAGTTTTTTCAGTCTGCTCTTTTAGATAACTATTTGCTCAAACCCACTTGGAATTTTGGAAAGTTCATATCCCATGCAAAGTAGTTATTTGCAGAACAGGAACCAGAAAAATGTAGGGAATAGGTGAGCATGTGAAAATAGGCTGGTCATTTGGTGAAGGGTTTTTTAATTTATTTATTAACATTGGCAAAATTCACAGATGTCTTTTTTAATGGGATGGGGAAAAAACTGGATTTTTTTTTTTTTTAATGAAAAGTGAAACTGGCAGATTTATTCATCCCAAATCCAACACATCAGAAAGGTATCTAGCTGAAAAATCCTAACCAGAGTTGAAGTTATATTTTGCTCCTCATCCAGGAGCACCTTAGCCCATTGAGGAGGCTCAGGATAATAAATCTGCTTAGTGACAGGCTGGGCAATTTTATTTCTGGGCAGGGGGCAAATGTCAAGCAAGGGGTCTTGGGGAAACTATCTTGCTTCTCAGAAAAATGACACAAAGAGAAGAAGCAGGAGGTTGATGCAGAAGTGCAAAATTAGCTCATATGAAGATGTTTTTCATCTGGGGTTCATGGAGTGATGAACATGGGCTGACTGAAAAAGCAGGTGACCAAAAATATCAAAGGATGAGATTTTATCATCGCATTTCTCTGAGTAAAAGGAGGGGCTTAGCTCTAATACCTCTTCAGTACAGCAGTGCTTCTTAAAGTGTGGTCTGCAATTCCCTGGGGGGTCCCCCACGACCTTCTCAGGGGTCTGCGAAATCAAAATTATTTGCCAGCCTGTGTTGAAAAGCTACAATATTAAAATCTCATTAAACAATCGTGAGAAGCGGCAGCAAATGTGTCAATTTTAATTTATAATACATTGGCTCTGCCATCTGGCCTGGGGCGGGGAGGGAGGATGTCATAAATGGGGTTGGCTGGCCCTTTAGCAGCCTGGTGTGGCCTCTATTGGCCTCTTGGATTTTTTAGCCTTTTTATCTCTAAGTGTGGTTTTTTATAACTTTTAATCATGTATTTCTGATTTTAGTTTGTTGTAAGCTGCCCAGAGTCCCCCATTGTGGGGAGATGGGTGTGGACAAGTCTATTAAATAAATAAATATCAATAAATATAACCCACATAAAGAAAAGCTGTTTTGGGGTCCTATATAATTTTTAAAAGCAGGAAGGGGTTCTGCGAGAAAAAAGTGTAAGAGACATTGACCTCTGGTTTTAAAAAATTGTAAACAATTTTTTTCGTTTTGCTTAGTTCTCTCCTGATATTGCTCTAACTTTGCAATGCAGAGTTTTTGTTTTTTTAAATACTGAAAATGGGAAGTGAGATTACAATACAGTTGCAGCATTTGCTTTCCTGTGGAATCGGACATTATGCTACTGGAGACTCGGAGTTTCTATTGGAATTTCGATATATTTTTGGATGCACAAAAGGAGAACCAGGTTCCAGTTGTTTTAATAGCTGAACAGAGGAAAGAGCACCTGGGGAAGGGGCTTGTCATGTGTGAGAAACTGCCCTCTGGCCTACAATTCCTATGGTGCACATGGGCACTCTGTTTTATTGTTTTGGTCTGGTTGAGGCTAAAAGCAGAGCAGCAAAGACTTTACAGTTTCACATCTCCTTTATCTCCCACAGCCTCCCCCTTTCCTCTCCCAGAAGCACTTTACACTTTCCGTCTGCTTCAGACTGCAGTGTTTCCCAATAATAAATCAGCTGACATCCAGGGCCTCGCCATGCTGGGAGATGTGGAGACACATTCGCTGGACTCGCACACAGGGAAGATCAAGTTCCTCCAGCCTTGGTCCCAAAGTGTCTTCCCGGCCTTCTTCTGGGCCATTATGGAGTCTGTCTTCAGAACCTACTTTGCGGGTTTTCAACAAACAGTCATCAACATCACTCATACTTTAAACGGGAGCTGTGAGTACAGGCACTCCCTTTGGTATCTGGTGAGGAAAGGCTATGGGAATAGATCATGCTAAGACATGTATTAGTGTTCATCTACTCTAGATTGTTCCCTGAGCAACTTGCAATGTACAATATAATGGTAGAAGCAAGTGAATGAAAATCAGTTCAAGAATTAGCCCTTAGAGTGCTAAAAATGCATCTCAACTAGCATAAATGATTTAACTTTTCTTTCAGTACTTCAGTGAAGTCCGTAGAATTATTTTTAAAAAACTTCCT